CCATCATTCAAAACAGGCCCGGTTTCAGCAGGCCGAACCAGTCAAATAGCCTTACACAGAAACAAAGACCACCGAGCTCTCTAGCTTCAAGTCTACCAGAGCTCCTTCCCAAGAAATCTCGTTGTCAACACGTTTACATGAAGCCGCCACCCTGCTTGTTGGCGTTGGCCTCGCCCTGCATCTTCTCGCTGACCTTGATGTTGACATCGAAGAACTTGGACACACAACGGTCGAGGCAGACAGACTCGCCCTTGTTGAGGTCGCCTTCGCGGTAATCGGCGGGGACGCACTTCTTGGTGCAGGACTCGGTCAAGCTATGATCGCGACGGTAACAAGTTAGAATGGGTTATGCATATATATAGTTCGAAGATGGGTTGAATGAAATTCCTTGCAGTCTTCTGGTTTTTGAATCGAGTCATAGCGCTTGGGTATTCTGTAGGGCTTCAACTTACCGGTTGAACATGTCTGAGATCATCTCGACTTCTGTCTCGGCGGCAGCGATCTTCTCTGCCGAGGACATCTTGGGGGCACCGCCGAAGAGGAAAGACATGATGTATATGTGTTTGGAGTAGATTTGGAATGTAGATGGTTAAGAGGCTAGATATGTGGAGTAGAGCACCAGAAAGTCCAACGTATTCGGAGCACGGGAGGTCGGAGAAGCTTGGGCCACCCGCGTGGAAAAACTCGGTTCTGCCGTTTCTTCTTCTTCTTCCTCTCTTCTCTTAACAATGTGAGAGCCATTGGCAGTTGCTATGCTTTCAATTCGCCCTAGATGGGCTTTATCTGGCTTTGGCCTACGAAACAGGTAAGACTTGCATTTACTGTTTATCGCTTTACTCCCTCAATTCCCACTCGCCCCTTATATGATGATTTATCCCCGCATTAGAACCGCTACAGTGATGTCCTTTTGGACACTGAACGTACTGGATTTTATCTGACAAAGCTTAATGCTTTAATTTGGATCAACAATGTCAATTTTCTCGAACATTGCTAACCCAAATCTTTAGTGCAGGACTGCGACTCGCTAGACAATCCCGCATTCAGACTTTCTTTACATCACGACTAACCACACAGCCAATTCGAAAGCATAGCTCTGCAGTATTACCAGGAAAGAAGGCTTTACAGGATCGCGTACAGCAGATCAAAGATGCCTGCGCAGACCCATACCCTCGCCTAGCGGTGGACACACGCACACTGAGCTGCGCCGAATTTCGCTCTCGCTACGCCGAGCTCGCCGACAATGATTCAGTAGAAGACACAGTCATCGTCTCTGGTAGGTTCTGCTTTCTGGCCTTTACAATGCCCATGTACTTAGAATAGTAGGAAGAATCCGTACCTATAGACTCGCCGGAAGCAAATTGATCTTCTTCGATATCGTGCAGGACGGCCATAAAGTCCAGGTGATGTGCAACAAGCGTCGTCTGGAGAATGTCTCTCCCGAGGACTTCAAGAAGTTCTATCGTCTTCTGCGTCGCGGCGACGCTTTCTGTATGTCTCGTCTCCGTCCGGCCTGACTCGAGTGTCGCTAAATGCCATTCTAGCTGTAACCGGTAGACCGCACCGCACTGGACGAGGCGAGCTCACCATCGATGTGAGCGAGTTGCCGCAACTGCTCTCGCCGTGTCTGCATGATGTCCCCATTCACGACATTGAGCACGAGACCTCTCCCTACCCTCGCCATGTCCAGTTCCTAGCCAACCCCGCGACAGCCGATATCATCCGAGCCCGCGCGGCCCTGGTACAGTATCTACGCCAGTTCTTTATCGACCGATCCTTTATGGAGGTTAGTACCCCGATCATCGGGTCTGTGGCAGGCGGCGCAATTGCTCGTCCGTTCTATACCTCTGCCACCGAGTTCCCAGACCGCCAGCTGTCGCTGAGAATCGCACCGGAGCTATGGCTCAAGCGGTTGGTGGTTGGTGGGTTTGACAAGATCTTCGAAATTGGACCTTCGTTCCGCAATGAGGGTGTGTTGAAACAGATATCCAAATGCCTGTCTAACAAAGCTGATGAGATATAGGATTGGACAAAACACACAACGCAGAATTCACCACCTGTGAATTCTACCATGCATACGCCAATCTCGAGAATCTAATGGCCATGACCGAAGACCTCCTCTCCGGAATGGCAGCCCACATCCGCGCCTTAAACACAACAGGCACTCTTAACCCCACCACAGCCGACTTCACGGCACCATTCCGCCGTATCGACTTCCTTATAGGCATCGAAGAGGGCACTGGTCACAAACTGCCTGACCTTGAATCCCCCGACGCCCTAGACAAAGTATACGCTATCTTCACCAAGCTCTCCCTCCCACTCCCAACGAACCCAACCCTCCCGCGACTCCTTGACGAACTATGCAGCATCTACGTCGAATCACAGTGCATCAACCCAACCTTCATCATCAACCCACCCGAATGCCTCTCCCCACTCTCTAAATCCTTCGTTCACCCGACGACCAAGCAGCGCGTCGCCGCACGCGGTGAACTCTTTATCGAGGGCAAGGAAGTGGTGAATACATACGAGGAGGAGAACTCTCCGTTTGAGCAGCGCCGCAAATTCGAGGACCAGCTACGATTTAGCAAGGCTGCTGATGAACCTGGCGAGGTAGATGAGAGCTACCTCGAAGCCCTGGAGTGGGGTTTGCCTCCTACCGGTGGATGGGGTTGTGGGGTTGATCGTCTCTGTATGCTTTTCACGGGGGCCAAGCGAATTACCGATGTGTTGCCATTTGGTAATCTACGGGCTGTGACTAGACGACATGGACAGTCGGGTAGCGAGTGAGGGCTTTTGTAATAGTAATGGTCTGTACGATATGCCAAGAATGGGACGATATGGAATTCTCGACTCCTATTGGATGTGTTATTTATATCCCTGCATCAAGTAACATCGTGTGAAATTTAGTGGCAGATAGGCGAAGAGCTGCCCTCTGAGATTAGAAAGATACGAGAGCGGGGAAGTTGATTTGAATTTCTACAACATCATGGAGACCAACACGGCCGAGGCCGTCACCGTCAGTCTGCATGAACTTGTAGATGGTAAGTTATGTGTTCAGAAGAACAGAAGAACAGAAGAAGAAGAGTAGATGCTAAGTTTTGTAGGAACTGTCTCCTTCGATACTCTGACCAAAGCCTTTGGGCCGTCCTCTTTGGGCATCATCGTGGTCAAAGACCTGCCCTCGACCTTCAGCGACTTGCGCACAAAGGTCCTCTCCAATGCCTCGTATTTGGCGGCTCTCCCTGATCCCGAACTAGGTAAGATGCCCCTCCACCCGACTCCAACCGCAAAATCAGACTAACCTCCATGTAGAAACCCTCACCAGCCCAGAGTCCAAATACTTGGTCGGCTGGTCTTGCGGTAAAGAAACGCTGAAATCAGGCCATTTCGATACATTAAAGGGCTCGTATTACGTGAACTGTGCCTTCTATCAGGATGCATCTCTAGACAGCGCCCCGGCAGATGATTTCCCAGATCTACCCCAGTATACCGCGCCAAACATCTGGCCCCCGCCAGCCAAATTACCCGAATTCAGGGGTAGCGTGGAGTCACTATGTGGGCTGATCATTGATACCGCGGCACTCGTCGCCAAGGCATGTGACCGGTATGCGGAAGCCAACATCGAAGGCTACAAGCCTGGGTATCTGCACCATGTCGTGACAACCAGCCTGACAACCAAGGCACGGCTGTTACATTATTTCCCTAATCAGGAAGAAGAGGTTGAAACTAGTGATGACGACTGGTGCGCTACACACCTTGACCACGGCTGTTTGACGGGCTTGACATCGGCCATGTTCCTCGATGAAGCCGCTTCGCCTCCAAGTCTCGATCCGTCAGGGTCTGCATCTGCCCCTCTCCCTGAACTTCCCCATTCCCCCGACCCTTCGGCCGGACTGTACATCCGTTCCCGCACTGATGAGATTGTTAAAGTCAACATTCCGAAGGATTGTCTGGCTTTCCAGACTGGTGAGGCCTTGCAGCTAATCACGCACGGCAAGTTTATGGCCGTGCCGCATTTTGTCAAAGGGGCTAAGGCTAGTCCTGGGCAGAAGATTGCGAGGAATACTCTTGCTGTATTCACGCAGCCGAACCTTGCAGAGGAAGTTCAGCCTGGATTGAGCTTTGCGGAGTTTGCAAGGGGTGTTGTACAGAAGAATTACTGAGTAGTTTAAGGATTTTAAGTTTCTAGCTTGTGCTTTGATTGGAACGAGGTTAATCTAAATCATCCATTGAGTTTTTGTCCTTTTTTTCCGTAGAGCGTGCGGATTTCCCGGGGGGCGAATTCAGCCCGGATGGATCTAGGAAAAGTGAGTGACGCGTTTCGAACCCCGATGACCAGCTTGGCACATGAATCTAGGCAGTGACAGAGATTTCCACATTCTGCCAAGTATTTACACTATAATCCAGTGCTAGAGATGCTAAATATGCCGACAGGTGGAACCGAAACCCCACACAGTCACCCTCGCTAACCCTGTTATAGACAGATCCAAGATCTACCACCTAGGAGATCTCCGCATTTCCCCATAATTTCTAGGCTCAGAACGAGTCTTACGTGTTGATCTTTACTCGATACATCACGATCTCGTACTCGCAATGTGATCATCTACGGACGGATGGAACTGTATATTGTCTCCACTACGGGGTACTCTTATGCCAAGATGCCAGCAATGCTAGCAATGCCAGCAGAACCCCCTATTGTCGCCTCTATTCTCGCTTCCGAAGACTCTTTTTCGGGCTGGCCCCGCCCCCGCACTGGCGCTGATCTTCCCCAGGAATTTTGTTTCCTGATCATGATGTGTTGAGGGGGCGTGGTGGTGTCATGGTGTCCACGACTTGTCTACGCAATATATAAAGCAGAACGAACTCGCAATTGTTCTTGTCAAACTTGTCAACCTTGTCCAGAATAATTGCATTGCCATCCGGGATATATTCCCTCCTCTCGAACTATATACCCCCTTTCCCTCTTCTGTACATCTATGTCTACCTCACGCCCCCAACCTATAATGTCCCACGAAGAAGATATCAGTGCCAAAGATACAAACAACTATTCCTCCAGCAATGACGACTATGAAACAGGCCACTTTGGCCCCCTAGCCCACGTCAACACAGCCTCGAGCCGTTACCCTGCCTTCGGAGGTGATCTCCAGCCAGGTCTATACCGCATCCCCAAAGACCGCAAGCTCGCCAATCCGGCACCACTAGGCCTGTGCGCATTCGCACTCACCACCTTTGTGCTGGGATGTCTCAATATGAACGTCAGGGGCATTACTGCGCCTAATATCATCGTTGGGCCTGCATTGATTTATGGCGGCTTTGTGCAGCTTTTGGCTGGCATGTGGTATGTTTCAGACATGTTATGGACATGAATACTCGGGCTTTAGCTAACAAAACCAGGGAAATGGCGATTGGCAATACCTTTGGTGCCACTGTGCTCTCATCTTACGGTGCTTTCTGGATGTCGCTTGCTATTACTTTTATCCCCGGTGGATTTGATATCATAGGGGCCCTTGAAGAAGCGGATAATGGGTCTCCCGCTATGTTTTACAATTCGTTTGCATTGTATCTCTTCGTATGTTATTCCGGGCAAGAAGAAGGAGATTGGAACTAACTTACTCTCAATAGGGCTGGTTCATCTTCACAACAATGATCACTATGCTCACTCTCAAATCCACCTTGGCATTCTTCTCCCTCTTTTTCTTCGTCGACATCGCCATTCTCTTGCTCTCCCTCGGGTACCTTTTCAATGTGGATGGTGCGCCAAATGAGAAATTGATAAAGGCGGGTGGGCTCTTTGCTCTGCTTGGTGCTTTCTTAGCTTGGTATAATGCCTTTGCTGGTATTGCTGATAACAGTAACAGCTTCATTCTGCCTCCTGTTATTCACTTCCCCTGGTCTGAGAAGAAACGTATCGCTAGGCGGAATTCTGCTGGACAGAGTGAGGTTTAAGGCGTATTTGGTCTTATATGAGTGTCAGTTTTTAGACATAGACATGAAAGCAATAGCCATGGAATCTATTTCTCTTCTAAGATATTGGTTGCAATAATATTCTTCGTAGTTTACGCTTATTCTTCTAGATGTTGACTCTGTTTGTTCTGCAGGATTACATAGCTGTGGGATAATAAGATACACTACTATTTGAACATTGTACAGTCTGCACATAATTTCATCTGGTCAAGATAGAATTATCCCTCCGTAACGCCCATGGGTATCTTGAATATGCCGCTAAAAGGAGGGAAAACAACGGGCACATCGGATCGAATCAACCTACTCATTCGAATAATCACTATCCTCCCCCGAAGAATGACCAACCCCAATCCCTAGCTCAGAGATACCACCATACACTTGATCATCAAAAGAGTCCTCTTCAGTATCGGGTACACTGCCGATAACAGAACTGACCAGTTTACTCGTCTGCGCAATATGCTCAAGACCAGTTCTCGGCCGAGAGCTGGTACCCTTCGGAGCGGACGAAGAAGACTTGGAGGGTCGGCCGACAGAAGAAGGAAGCTCGGCCTGGCCCCGGAGATCGTGACCGACTTCACCGTGTGATATTTTGATGATTGCCTGCCACTTGCGCGGGTTTTCGCGCTGCGCCGCTGTAAGCCCGCATTCCACACCGTTGATTTCTGTCAGTCCGAGCGTCTCCACCCGGCAATCCCCCCAGAACCACGTCTTGCCTTCGGGCATACGCGAATCGACTTGTGACGAGTACTGACGACCTTCCATAACGCCGGATAGATCGTAACTCATTGTATGGGTGCCGAACATAAGCTCTGCCGCGAGCGGTTCGTAGCAGCGACCCACGATAAGGTGTGGGGAGACGTTGCAGGTTCTACCATCGGCCATACGGTACCAGGGACCGTAGTCGCCCATGCCGACCTGGCGGAAGGTAGCGATTGCTTCTTCCGTAGTGAGTGGGATAGGACCAGTTGCTGATCCGCCGGATGACACTGGGTTTCTGCCTTGGAATGGGCCTTCTTGGGTAACGCGACTAGGATCAGTGGTGAACACCTTACCGGATATCAGGGCTGTGAAGTGTTTGGCTAGCTGCTCCTCGTTGTCGTCGATGCACTCTGAAAGATAGAGCGCGATTTTTTCAATAACCATCACGTCTGTCACTTCGCCGACTGTTCCGTACTTGAGCTGGTCGTGATGGAATCCATGTGGCCTCAGACGGACGGTGTCGTGTAAGGCAAGGAGTTCGGCCCCGACGAAGATTCCCTTGCAGTAGATCCTGGCGCTGGGCCATGTGCCAATAACATGGAATTTGTGAACCATGCTCCACGAAGACATAACAGTCATGGCATTCTCAATAGATGGGTGAATATCCCCTCGCTCTTGGCCATTGAGGTAGAGTTGCCATGTGTTAAAAGGCTTGATGTTACGCAACGGAACATAGGCATATTGCACCGAGTAAGACTTATCACTACCCACCGGATCTGGCAGAGTCTCCAAACGGAATCCAGAGTAGCTCAGCCCGCGTGGATTATCGGAGCCTTCAATGATATTTACCATATGCCCTTCGTCCTCTGGGATTTGGGTCACCACGCCGGCACGCCAATTGGGCACACCATGCCACTTATTATCGTTGCCAAATATCTCAATGAAGCCAGTCTCAGGGTTGCGCATCAAGCAGCCGTCTTCGAGACCCTGCCAGATCCAGAGAACAAGCTCACCACGACGGGGGATGTAAGCGGGATCCAGAACCAGTTTCATAAAGTAATCAGAAAGCCATTCGTGAGTCAATACCCAGTCAAAATTGAACCGCTGCTCAATATCTTCGTCGAGGGCCCCCTTATCTTTCAATTTCATAATCAAGATTCGCCAGTAATCTGGTCCCTCTGCATCGGTGGGTCGGCGCTCATCAATGACTCAATAGGTATCAATAAACGATCTAACGTAAGAGGCATGGTAGTACTCACTTGGTTGTACAACGCGTCTAGTCCTCTGTCCCGCCTTCCCTTGCACTGCAGTCCCTTCGCTCATCTTCATTTTACCACAGGGCTTGCATTGGCACTTGTCAAGCTCGTTCTTGACCAGAGAGAGGAAATGTGGCAAGAAAGATAACTGTGATTGAAAATACCGACCGCTTGGATGACCAAAAAGAAAAGAATCAAACTTCATATATGATTGTTAGCTGCAAATCAAGATGGGAACACCAGAAAGGCCCACCATGCTAGGATTAGTCCCACGAGGTCGCTCAAATAGACAGTATCCATCAGGCAACTTCTCAATGGTATGAATGACACCTAATATATGCTCTGTTAGTCTGAGAGTAGAGGTATAAAGTATACAAACAGAAAAGAGAGGCCATAACAGGCCAGCACAAAGCACGAAGGAGCGAATGAACGAATGAGCATGAGACGACAGATGCAGTCACCCAACAAATGCAATGCGGAAAAAAATACAGTGCGACAAAGCCAGTATGCCAAACAAAACGTGAATCTGAAGCATCTGCAATCAACTCACCATCTTCATAAGTGCCCATATCTTTGAGCCAGTTTTCAGCAAGTAACTGCCGCCAGCGCAAGTCGGAGCGTTCAATGTAGTGACTTGAGGGCCATGTACTCATGTCTCCATCGCTGGGAAAATTCTCCATGGGGATAATATTAACATTGGAGTCCTCATCCTCGCTGCTGTAAGACATGGTTGTCTTCCCTGCCTCAAGGAGTGCAGATTGGATTGTAAGGGGGCTTGGGCTCAGCAACACCGAAATAAATCAGATAGAACAGCAATACAGCTCAAGGATCCGGCCGCAGACAGTGAGCAGAGGCTCTGTACAAGAAAGCAAGTGAGGATGAACTATGGTTTTCTCTGTGATGGGCTTATCGATAAGATATACCGCCGCTTTAATAAGGCGGTGAATTAAGAGGTAAATATTTCTTGCCGCTTTAATTCGAATCATCCTTATACATCTAGAAAGAACATACGGAGTACAAAAAGACACTGAAGTGTTCTTACATATAACGTCCCTAATATTATCTTGAGCCACTAGGGTAAATATGTCGGGTTATTAAAGTACTACGTCATCAATGACAGAGGCCACATGAGCGCCCGATATAACACTCAACTGAGAAATATCCCTACTGTGCATAGGAGATGGATTTCAACCATGAGAAGCCTTCAAGATTGCCAATAACTGTGTACATTTAATTCGCTGTTACCCCAGTTAGAGCCTCAGAGCTAGAGTGCTCTGCCTCCTGATAAGGCGGCGGTGCAACTTCACTACCATTAGCCCACACCTTCTGAAGCTCCTGATCAATTTCCTCGCGGCGCTGCTTCCACTCGTCCACCTTATCCAGACGCATCCGCAGCTCTTGTAGTTCTTTCTCAACACCAAGCTTCTCCTTCTCAGTACCGATTCTCTCGAACTCCCAGGCCTCGCCTTCGGCACCCAGACCAAGAGTCAGGTTATAAGTATGGTACTTTTTTAAAGACGCCCGCGTCGAAATGGTGATGAGAGTGATACCTCGCTCCTTGGCGTTGTCGTACAGCAATCCCTCGACATCCGAGGAAACAGCCGAAGTGCCTTCGTCCATGAATGCATACCGCGGCTCATGGTAGAAGAGCCGCGCCATGCCCATGCGCTGCTTTTCACCACCACTTAGAACATCTTTCCACTCCTTGCGAGCGTCCCAGCCACCTTCACGCTGTGGCAGGTAGCCAAGATGGGCGTCGTCGAGAATCTTCTGTAGAGCTGCGTCTGTCTCGCCAGCTTCGCGCATATCAAGCTCCGTGTGCGGGTAGATCACTTGATCGCGCAGAGTGCCGACGCTGAGATATGGCCGCTGGGGGAGGAACATGATTCCGTCGAGGCCGAAGCCCCGAGGGCGACTAACCAGTCCGCGGTATACAGGCCAGAGCCCGGCCACAATACGCGGGATTGCAGACTTGCCTACGCCATTTGGACCTGAAATAAGGAGGTGGTCGCCCGAATGGACGATAAATGAGAGCGACTCGATGAGCTCGTCGCCGCCCATTGGGTAAAGGGATGGTGCAACGATCGGGACCTGCTCTAGACGGACCCCGTTGAAGCCGTTGTGGGTGGTGCCTTGGACATCCGCAAGGGAATATAGCTCGGGATGCGAGCCCCGTGGGGTGTAATACGCATCGGCGTGGACACGGTGCAAGGTGGCAATGAGGCCGTAGACGCGGGAGGTGTAGCCAGCGAGTTCGGATATGTCCTTAATGCTGTACATCATGCGGCCTCCAGCATCGGCGAGCGAAAGCATGAGACGTTTGTTAGTGATGAATTCCTTCATGCGGCCACGCTCGCGACCCATACCCTCGGATACATCGGCCAACTCCATTGCACCACCCGAGCCACCCCAGGCGGGGAGGAAGATGGGTAAAGAAGTTATCAGATAACCAAACGCCGACCAGGAGTACTTCAGGATCATGTCCTCGAGCATGTTGTAGCGGATCTTGAGACTATAAATGCCCTCCATCCATCGCTGCAGCTCCTTGAAGCTTCGGACTAGGAACACCCGCTCGGTATCGGCTCCGCCGTAGAACGAGATCTCTTCGGCATTGGCTAAAAGTCGAGAGTGCAGGCCACGGAAATCCCCCTCTTTCTTGCCCTCCACTGCCTTAAGCTTTCCAAATGGTGGTGACAGTTTCCGGAGCACCACGGCTGTGCTAAAGTACCCAGCCAAAATGCCGCTGAGGGCAAGGGGGCCGAGGGATCGGTAAAGTTGGTAGTTGAATACGAAAAGATCCACTAACGGCTTTCCCATTGAGGAGTATAGTGATGCGGCAGCCGAGCAGAACAGGGTAAGATCCTGCGTGATAAATTGATCGGGCCCTTGACCGATTCCGCCGTCCAAGTTCATCAATTTATAGTAATTGTTATTGTCAGTTAGGTATAGGTCGTGGATATATCGGGTCAATCGAGTGCGGAAGGCGATGGACACCTTGGATTGAAGGAATTTGATCATCGCATTGGT